ACGGACGTACTGCTGAAGTGCAGTCGCATGGGGAAAATAAAGAACAGCGCGATAATTCTGTCGGGATACGAACCAAGAGCTTCTGGAATAGCGTGCCCTCTACAACGGGGGTTCCCAAATTTGTTTGGGCCACGGACCAATTACAGCATGGATTTTATTTGGTGGACCAACCGAATATTAAAAAAGATAAAGTTTTCCTTGTGCTTAACTAATTAAGCACTAAGCCATGAAGACGTATGAGGGAACAGATGTATAGGTCCACATTTTCTTGACCTCGGCACTTCTTGGGAGTTAGTGGTCAGCTTCATGCCCCGGCCGCTTTACCCATTGCATACGAGGCTGGTTGGGCCCCAGAGCCGGTCTGGATGAAACGGAGAAGAGAAAATTGTTGACCTTACCGAGTACGAACTCCGACCCCTCGGTACTCCAGCCCGTAGCCAGTCACTATACCGACTGAGCTATCGTGGCTCCTATACTGAACGAAAAGTTTTAAGAATTTTGAATAGATGAGAATGGGGTTTAGCCAACAGATAACCCCTTTAACTTTCAGAATGAAGAAAATACCGTATAGGCAGAACACACGGCGACCCCGTGTTTTCCCAGCGAGTAAATCTTGTTTTTTTTTTGTTGGCAAAACTGAATATGCCGTTTAATTTTGAGGGTTACTTCTCATAGTAATCTTCTTTATGTTTTATTCTTACGGACCCAAAAAATAAGGACACCCTTTTAAATAAGATTAAGTATTTGAGAATAACCTTGCCTTGTGTTCGGACCACGGCACAAAGATTTTGCCATGCTAATAACAGTGTTCATCCATAAATAAAATATCTTGGCCTTGAAGGTGGAGGCTTACAACGTTTCGCAGACCACCGGCGGTCCGCGGATCATAAATTTACGGAACTCTGCTCTACACAAACTGATACGTCCCAGACACAAAATACGCCACTGAAGACAACAGCCGCAGCAGTTTTACGCGAGCGGTGGTAACCATCCAACGGCCTGCTTGCTGGACCGGTTTTCGTTTGCTCGAGCCACAAGCAGCAAGCGACCCTAAAAACCTCAGAGTGTAACCAACCATTTCAAGGCCACAGAACATGGAGAACAACAGCCTCAGTTTTAATTACTTCAGAGGCTTGACCGTAATAAGAAAACAGCTATAAAACTGTGGGCACGGGCAACTCTCATTGAGGTCGGACGAAACGTCCGTTGTTACAGCCATATTTACGGCATCCAGAAAGAAGTGATGTATCAACTACACATATTAATAAAGAATTCTGTCTTCTGTGATGCAACGTTACATAGCCCGCTGAAGTCAACTGATGTTACGGAGGAAAATCTCGTCTTCATCTTCACGGCTGAAAAGTCAAGCATCAACATCTTTCTACGGAACGTCGGTTAACTTTCGACGGACCACACGACGTTATGTCTCAGAAGATGGAAATCCTAACAACTACCGCTGTGATGACCTCGGATCGTACTCGTGTAATATTTCAAATAACGTTCTGTATTACAGGCTTAAGTTCTATATTAATATGAACACCTTCGTCTGAAAGCAGACCTAAAAACAATTCGTTCCGTCATGTTTTTCTTACAATTCCGAGTTCTGGTAGGTAAACTTACACGTTTACAATATTGCAACAAGATAAGCTGCCCAATTTTTGTGTTTTATGCAATTGCAACATTTAGCCTATCAACAGACGTCTGCAGTTACAATAAAGAAGTTCAAACAAACATTTCTTCATCGTAATTAGACAGATTAGAGTTCAGGGATAGCGCTGTCGGTACAGCGACTGGCTACGGGCTGGACGACCAAGGTATCGGAGTTCGTGTACTGGTGGAGGCAAGAATTTTCACTTCTCCATGTCGTCCAGAACGGCTCTCGGGCCCACCCAGCGTCCTATCCAATGAGGACCGGGAGCTCTTTCCCCGGGGGTAAAGCGGCCGGTGAGTGAAGGTGACCACTTGCCTACAACTAGTGCCGGGGTCAAGAAAACATGGGTTTATACATCCACTCCCCAATAAGTCTTCATAGCGTAGTGCTTAATTAGTTAAGCACAGAGACAACTTCACCTTACCTTTACCTTCATTGGTCAGATTTCTTCGCCAAATATGAAATCACTCTCTCGCCAGTTTCGTTACACTGTAATGTGTTTTGTTTGTGTCACGCGAAGATGTTTGTGTACAGGTAACATTTGTGGGGTTGGTCTAATGAAGTCCAAGAACAAGGACCCCCGAGTGGTAAAGTTATCCGAAATACTGATGACCTGGATGTATGANAAAATCTTTAGTTATAATTTTAAAATCCTTTAAAAATTTCTCTAAATATTATATTTAAGCACACGTAGTAAAGACAAGCAGCGGCACGCACACAGAGAGACTACACAGAATAACACCGGTACAGTACTAGAAACAAGAAGTAGCCGCTGCAGCACTATAGACATAGGGAGAGTAACCCTGACAATTTTAAATTTCAAAATTTAGAGAAAACTGAAAAGATTTTAAAATTAGAACTGAAGATTTTATAAGTGTTAATTCAGAGAAATCAAAATTAACGTGTGCAAATAACAAAGATATCAACGAAGTAGATTTTGGTAATAACAACGAAAGGAACAATCAGGAAGACCTGTGTTTTTAAATTTTAAATGTTAAACTAAGTGCAGTGTGACAGATACGTGAGTAATACACCTGATGATGGCCGTTTGTGGCCGAAACATGCAGTGTGTAGGAGAGCAAAACGAAAGACCTATAACATATGGTTTGCACTGAAGACGGAGTTTGTATCATGTATCGAACAGACTTGCCAACTTATCTGGCCTATTCAACCAACACTGCTAAGACATCACTGTGACCTGCAGAATCGATCAGGAAATGAGATGGAAAGTATAAATCAGAAAAGAGTGTAGGTGCTCTTAAGAGAAACGGGTTCAGTGCAATGATAAGCTCTCCTGCTGAACCTAGTATGAACCAGCAACGTACAGAACGCAAGCCGGTTGAGGCACACTCTGTCACTTCTACATGTTCATGGCGATTGTGTATCATCCACCGTCTTCGTGTTTCTTATAACAACCTATCAGAAAACATTTAATTTTCATCTTAAGGCTGGGGGGATATTTGGACCGAAAAGGGATGAAGTGAGAGGGGGTATGAGAAAACTGCATAAGGAGCTTCACAACTTGTACTCTTCACCAAGTATAATTAGAATGATCAAGCCAAGGAGGATGAGATGGGCGGAAATAGACATTAAGAGCGATAGGATGCGGTGCTATGGGCTGGATTGATCTTGGTTGAGGATAGGGACCAGTGAGGGCCTCTTGTGAACACAGTAATGAAATTTCGGGTTCCATAAAATGTTAAGAAATTCTTGAGTAGCTGCACAACTCGCGGCTTCTGAAGAGCTCTGCTCCATGGAGTTAGTTTTCGGCTGGATGGAGGGGGGGGGGACAAATCGGAAGGGACCATGTGGAGGGTGCAGGAAGTCTTCACTATCTGAACGACTGCTCAGGAAGAATTTGTTCCATGATGATATCAACATCAATTTTATAATGGTTCCTTCTTTATATTAAAATATTAATTGCACGTAATATGAACGTGACTGTGGACTAGTGGTTAGAGTTCCTGGCAACAGATCCAGAGGTCCGGGTTCGATTCCCGGCGCTACAAGATTTTCTGAGAAGTAGTGGGACTGGACGGGGTCAACTCAGCCTCGTGATGATAACTGAGGAGCTATTTCAAGGAAATAGCGGCTCCGGTTTAGAAAACCGATATTAACGGCCGTGGGGATTCGTTGCGCTGACCACGTGACACCCTCTATCCGCTTAAGTTGGTACTAATTTCGCCGACAAGCGGCGGTCGCTCGGTCGGTATAGTTCGCTTGCGGACTAAAACCACGGAGTTTTTTTTGTACATAAATATTTTTTCTCAATATCTAGTGAGACTGCTTACATAATTTTTACTGTTCTCCATGTTGTCATGGTTTGGTTTGTCTTCGTGTGTATGAGATTCCATATTCCCTCGATCCTATCATATAATTGGCATTCTGGCTTCTGTTTAAGTACATACATAAACAACTAATGAATTACATAAATGAATCATTATTGTCCTGTTAAGATAACAATACTTTTTGCAGTAATCATGAGCGGGCAAGGAAACCCCTGAAGAGCAATGTATGTTACTACTTGAACACGGAACAAAACTGCAGTGCAACGAATGAAACATTCAATATGTAGTAAGTAATACAATAAAGTTTTGTTTCTTTCCGTGACTATGCTCAGGCCCATAATAGTATCTAATGACATTTATGTAACAAAAAATACGTGGCCCGACAAATGCCCTATTTGAGTTTTCCATAGCTTTTAAAACAGACAGCTGCCATCTTCTTTCTTACTCTATCCCATTCAACATTCACTGTTCATGATCCTCTTCTGCAGAGACGCTGCGTAACCTGTACAGCCTGACACGTGTTTGCAGTCTTGACGCGTAATATGATATGGTGTACATTACGTGTATCAAAACGTCCGATGGGCTGCTTCAACAAAATCTGCACATCTCTGCTATAAAACCCGCGCAAAAACACTATTATGTACACGATTCGAGTCTCGACTATGGAATCGATGGTCACTGCAGACGTTTTTCGTGATTTATCACTGTGATTTCGGGTGAATGGATCTGAAGTCCTTCAGCTGCTACACCGATCCTACCCAAATCAACCTTTGTTAACACCCATCATACGCTAAATAGCCTCGTCAGGTGATGCAGTATCGCCAAATGATCTACGGTATCGTAAAATATGAACCTGTCAATCAGTGTTCAGAGTCTATCTCGACTTTTGCTGTTTCGAAGTGTAGCCATCTTCTGGGATGTGACGTCGTGTAATCTACTAGATATTCACCGACGTTTCGGGGGTACGTACTGCGCCCATCATTGGCGTCGAAGAGTAACTCAACGAGCAAGTGTGAACTACGGCCGCTAGAGAAACTATGAATAAATTCACGAACACTTACCGGCATTGATACCTGATCCAGTTTCGCTAGAGTTGATGTCAGATTCTCCTTAGGCACCAGACGATATGACTACAGTCCCACACAACCCACTCACAAACACCAATTGTCAACACAAAAGAAAAAAATCACCACACTTAATTACATACTGATTTCACGCCACACAGAAAATAACTGCCCTACTTTACTGTATATCAAGCTCCTGTTGAATTTACATGCGTGCTTGACGCTTGTTATCTGGTCGGCAGTTTATCATTTTCACCGATGTCTTGCAACTTGTTGAAAAGCGGTGCTACTTTGAAATGTTGTCCACCACGAGCGTTGCGCAGTATCACACACTCCATTCACACCAGCACCAAAACCGGAACTGAGCCCGCAGCAACATAACAAGCAAGCTCAACGCAGTTCCAACATTCGTCACTAGGTGGAACCTATATCCAAGGGTGCACAAAGTCGGATGAAGTTTACGTCATTTTTGTCAGTACATTGATACAGGCAGAACTTTGGCTGTATGTGGAAGTGAAAGCATGTCTCCATTATTATTATGCCTGGCACTTGAGGGCGGTTAATGGTCAGCATCACGCCCTTGTCTCTTTACACCTGGGGAAATATGGTTCCGAAACCTACTGCATAGGTCGGAAAGCTATGGAGAGAAGAAAAATCTCTTGCCCTACCCGGGAATCAAACACGAATGCCTTGCTCGTACATATCGCAGCCCATCGCTTTACCTACTCAGCTATCTCGGCTCCAGTGTCAAATATACATTTTTCTATGGAAAGGGGAATCAAAATCATAAATTAGGTACAGGTGTTATCGTACATAAGAAAATCGTATCAGCAATTAAGAGTGTAGAGCTCGTTAGTGTTAGGATATCATATGTACTACTGAAAGGTTGCTGGTGTGATATCATCGTTATGAATGTTCACGCCCCAACAGAAGACAAAATTGATGAGATAAAGGACAGGTTCTATGAAGAACTAGAACATGTATTTGACAATTTCCCGAAGTACCCTACGGAAATTTTATTAGGAGAATTCAATGCCAAAGTAGGGAGGGAAGACATTTTCAAACCTAAAATTGGGAATGAGAGTTTGTATGAAATTAGTAATGATAATGGAGTTAGAGGAGTAAATTTTGCCACATCAAAAAATCTTACTCTCAAAAGTATAATGTTCCCGCATCGTAACATCCATAAATTTACTTGGACATTTCCTGATGGGAAAATACACAATCAAATCGACCATATTTTGATAGACAGGAGACTGCATTCAAGTATACTTGATGTCCGATCATTCAGGGCAGCAGATTGTGATACTGACCACTATCTGGTGGTGGCAAAGGTTAGGGAAAGACTGGCAATGAGCAAACAAACAACGCACAGAGTTCATATGGAGAGGTTAAATCTCAAGAAATTCAATGAAGTAGAGGGAAAAGAGATGCAGGGCAAAATCATGACATAAAGACAGGAAACACATGTTTTGAAAATGTGGCACAGTTTAGCGACTGAACTCGGGTAATGCTTGCTACAATTCAGTCCAGAGCCTTTTGTCTTCTAGTCTGTTGTCCAAAAACATAAAAATTAGAATATACAAAACTGCAATTTTGCCTGTGGTTCTGTATGGGTGTGAAACTTGGTCTCTGACATTAAGGGAGGAAGATAGACTGAGTGTTACTATAGGATTCTGACGATGGTGCATAACACACAGAGATATTGGGTTTTCGGACTTTATCCATCATCCTCGTTTGTAATATAACTAAGAAAAACATGATGTTTCGGAAACTGGATCTGTTTCCGTCATCAGGTGAGGGAAAACACATATTCTGTTGGGTTCCTTAGAAAGAGCTAGCCTCAATCACAGAATAGGTGTTTTCCCTCACCTGAGGACAGAAACAGATCCAGTTTCCGAAACGTCGAGTTTTTCTTAGTTATCTTAAAAACCAGGATGATAGATAAAGTCCGAAAACCCAATATCTCTGTATGATAGACTGAGGGTGTTTGAGAACAGAGTGTTGAGGAGAATATTTGGACTGAAGAGAGATGAAGTGACAGGAGGTTGGAGAAAACTGCATAATGAGGAGCTTCATAACTTGTACTCTTCTCCAAGTATAATTAGAATGATCAAGTCAAGGAGGGTGAGGTGGGCAGGTCAAGTAGCACGAATAGGCGAGACGAGAAATGTGTATAGGATATTGGTGGGAAAGCCAGAAGGAAAGAGACCACAGGGAAGACCAAGGCGTAAGTGGATGGACAATATTAGAATGGATCTTAGAGAGATAGGATAGGATGGTATGGATTGGACAGATCTGGCTCAGGATAGGGACTAGAGGAGGGCTCTTGTGAACATGGTAATGAACCTTCGGGCTCCATAAAATGCTGGGAAGTTCTTGAGTATCTGCAGAATTGGTAGCTCCTCCAGAAGGGCTCAGCTCCATGAGTAAATAAGTAAGTAAGTAAGTAAGTAAATAAGAGGGTAAAGAGCAGTATCATGTTGAAATCTCAAACAGATTCTTGGCTTTGGAAACTTGGACACCGAGGTGGATGTTAATAAAGCTTGGGAAACTATTAGAGAGAATAACAAAATTTCTGCCAAGGAGAGTCTAGGATACTAGGAACTGAAGAAGCATAAGCCATGGTTTGATGAAGGATGCTCAGAATTACTAGACCAAAGAATACAAACCAAACTGCAATGGTTACAGGATCCAAGTGAAATAAATAGGGATAAATACTGAAAAATAAAAGACGTGAAACCAGCAGGCATTTCAGGAATAAAAAGAGGGAATATCTGGAAGACAAAATTGATGAGCTGGCAATGAACAGTAAGAACAAGAACATTAGAGACCTGTATAGAGGAATAAATAAATTTAAGAGGGGTTACCAGCCTAGCAGTAACTTAGTGGAGGATGAGAATGGTGATCTGCTTTCAGATTCCCACAATATTTTGAATAGGTGGAGGAACTACTTCTTTCAGTTATTGAATGTACATAAAGTCAGTGATGTTAGGCAGACAGAAATCCATACAGCTGAGCCATTAGTACCTGATCCTAGCCCTTTTGAGGTTGAAAGTGCTATTGCAAAATTGAAAACGTATAAATCGCCAGGTGGTGATCAAATTCTGGTAGAACTTATTCAAGCACGAGGTCAAATATTACGTTCTAAGATCCATAAGCTAATAATTACTTCTATTTGGCATAAGGAAAAATTTCCTGATCAGTGGAAGGAATCTATTATTGTATCAGCTCACAAGGGTGATAAAACTGACTGTAGTAATTATTGGGGCATATCACTGCTATCAACTTCATACAAAATTTTATCCAATATTCTTCTCTCAAGGTTAAGTCCATATATAGATGAAATTATTGGGGATCATCAGTGTGGGTTTCGAGGTAACAGATCAACTACAGATCAGATCTTTTGCATTCGTCAGATACTGGAGAAATAATGGGAGTATAATGAGAGAGAACATCAGCTATTCATAGACTTCAAGAAAGCTTATGAGTCAGTTCAGAGGGAAGTATTGTACAATATTCTGACAGAGTTAGGGATACCCATGAAACTAGTTTGGGAGGTTCCCACGAAACTAATTATAATAATTTATAAATACAAACATCATTGTAGTTGTTGAAGGATCAGATTTTATATTCATGGCATTCTAATGATATTGTATGTATGTATTGATATTGACCAGTCACATTATAATAGTAGTTTCTGCCTGTATTGATATATCCTTCTGAAGATGGTCTCTCAGACCAAAACATGTCAAGGATGAGAGAGTAAAAAGGAGATAAAGAAACATTTATCAGTCACACTGGACAGAGTTGATAACCTTTCCTAACACTACGTATATTTAAAAAAATACTATCATATGCTACAAACTGGAAGGTCACAGGTTCGATTCCCACTGAATTTTTCAATCGATGTAATCCTTCCAGCTGCACTATAGCCCTGGGGTCATCTCAGCCTTTAAGAGAGATTAGTACTAGGAATCTTCCAGGGGGTAAAGAGTGACCAGTGCATAAGGATTACAATCTCACCATCATCTGTGAGCAGATTATTTGCAAGATGTGGGAGCCTCATTGTCTCATAACTCTACAGGCCTCCATGGCCTGTTACAGGGACAGCTTTACTTTTCTTTATAAACTTTTGTTGTTAATAATTGATATACCTTCCCCCTTTTTTAATTTCTATTTTCTTCCAAAAATCCACGGTGGTAGAGATACCTGGCTCTCCCCCAACCCCAGTAACCATGCATGTTTCGCTTTGTGAGATGAAACATAGAATGATTACACAAAGTGAACCAAAAAATCTTCAGAAAGTTCTAATTTGCAGGTACTGACCCAACATTTCCCCAGAGGCAAGACAGAAACACCTCAGTCAGTATGACCAGTACCCCAGCCATGGTTGAAAAGAAGCATCGTCCACACATTCAGCCACTTGGTTTGGTGAACAGGGCTTTTGAGTTACAAGCGAAATTAACAGTTTAGTCAACACTAAATTTTGTTCTTCTAATTTAAGTTGGCAAGAGACTCAGACAGATGTTATACTAGTACCTGATAAAAAAAAAAGTCATGCTTCAGAACAAAGTTTGCTGAAGTAAGAAGGGGGAACATACGAAAGCCAAACTCAGTGAAATGGTAGTAAACAGTAAAATTTACCTATGTAGGATATGAGATTCTCACAGTGGTGATTATCAAGAGTTCTATCTCCTGGGATAAAATGCTATGTAGTCTAATGAAAGGCAACTGATGTTTCGGTGGAACATGTTGCCTCCACCTTCAGGGTCAAAGAATAAGCCAAGACAAGCGGCTCTGCTTGGCACCTACTTTCACGTTGATTTTCAGTCACCCCGTTCATAACTGCTGACTTAAAATAATACTCCAAACATAGTGTGTAGGTATCCTATGCTTGCGCATTCCCCCCACAAGGTAGGGTAAAGTTGATTTATTGTTTCAATTGAAACATATTTTAAGAGGTTTAAGTTATCCTACTGAGAATTTCTCTGGCTTACCGAAGCATGCTGGGCGAATATATGCTTTCCCTTTGTTACACAGGTGATTACATGTCCTTTCCCAGTGTTAAACATACTTCCCAAATTTGAAATGACTCCTAGTTCTCTGATCCACAAATTTGTCTTAGTAGCATGATCACCACTAGAATTGCTGCCTTGCTTAATAACAGCAAACTTATGCCTCTAAAGATGAAAACAGTCAAGTATTTCTATACCATGCTCTTGGATGTGAGGAGCATCATCAGTAAACAGGACAAATCATGAATACATGGACAAAATGAAACACCAGGAACTGCACTGAAGAATAATCCTCCCTTTTATGACTTCTAATTCATGGAATCTTGGCATG